CTCCTTCTTTTGTTCTTGTACTGCTATTTCCAGGTACACATTTGTACACTCTCGGCTTGAAGCGAAATGAAATATTAATCAGGCTTTGTTCCTGTTGAATTCCTCCTGTTTAGACTTGTGTTTGAATATAATTTTCCTTTCTTTGTATAAAGATGTAGTTGAATGATTAATGAGTAATGAGGTTGCATATGTATAATTTCTTCATCTAATAATGTTAGTTTAAATTAATCGAAGAATAGTTAATCTGTTTTGATATTATTGTGTATCTATCTCATGTTCTAGTATTAGTAAATGGTAGAATATTGAATAAAAGCAATCTTTCTTGGTACAAACTCGATTGCAATTTTCCATTTGCATTAGCCGTAAACTAATAACTAATAAGTTACGTCTTTTTTAGCATGTAATTAATTGAGGGATTTTTTTTTATTTTAGTGACGAACCTAATAGAAAAATGTAGTCACTATAGGTTCATCCTTTTAAATAAAAACGAGACGAGCCTCGCCAAATAAAACGTATAGATTGCGGGGCCCTCACAAAATGTATGGTTTAAATAGAATTCAGAAGGACCGTTTAGTGAATTTCACGACCTTCCCAAAATAATAACGCGATAGTCTCTTTAGGCGCGTGTTTAATATTTTACTTTCTTAAGCCTGGGTGTGCATTTCATGTGACGCAATCCAAAGACATGTTTTAAGCGATGTTCACATTCTTTTAAAAATAATAATAATAAAGTGGTAAAAAGTTAAAATTGGCACACCGGTTCATAATTGTATAAAAATCAGAAATAAGCCGAATATGACAGTTGAGCGACCGTGCTAGAACCACGGAACCCGGGAATGCCTAACACCTTCTCCCGGGTTAACAGAATTCCTTATCTGGATTTCTGGTACGCAGACTGTAATATGGAGTCATTCTTTTCCTCGACTCGGGATTAAAATTGGTGACTTAGGACACCCTAAATCTCCCAAGTGGCGACTCTGAAATAAATAAACCAATCCCGTTTTGATTGTCCTTTAATTGGAAAAAACTCCCTTGTACCCTCTCGGGTACGGAAAAAGGAGGTGTGACAATTATTATAGTAACACAAATTACCGTTTTTGTCCCCTTTCTTTCATTATGTTTTGCTTTGGATCATGCTAAGAATTATACTTTTCTATGATTTGGTGAGAAAAAGGAATTGAAGCCATATCTTGAGAGTGTACAATTATTTGGTTGGAAAAGTCTCATCGGGAAATACATCTTAACGTTTTAACTTTGTAGTTCAATTACTTTTTCTTTATCGGTACTTGTAATTAATTTACTTGTCAAATGGCAATCACAAGAAGTCTTGTTTAATAACATCAAGCGAGCAAAACAGCATTTGTCAAGAATGGGATTCGAACCCATGCCCTTTCGGACCAGTACCTGAAACTGGCGCCTTAGACCAACTCGGCCATCTTGACTATATAGATGCACTCGTTATATGTTCTTTATATATTCATATACACTAAATTATTCCTTTCCTTTTCTTTACTTTCATGATCTTAATTGTATAAGAACGTACCATGTGTTGTTAATCAAGTTGAATGAGCATACTTTTATCGTTTGACATATGTAGATAATTTACAAAATCTCATAAGGGTATGCTAAGTATACAAACATCCTGGGTTTATAACTGTGCTTTTCGCAAATTTACTCGGTTGAGTAGATTGTTTGAGTGGCTATACTTTTATCACATATACATTGCTGAAAACAAAACCATGGAATTTCAAATCCTACATCTACCATGCATTAAACAACTAACACTCACGGTATTTTGCTTTTCTTCACTCAATTTTAAAACTATGGCGCTTTTCTTTGCCAGTCAAATTTGAGAAACGGAAAAGGGCCAAATATAAATCTGTATTATCAGAAAATAGTTAAATATATCCTTCGTTATATTTTGGGTCTAAATATACTGCTGCCGTAATACTATTGGTTTAAATATACCCTTTTTCCATTAAGTTTGTCCAATGCGGACATTCAATCCTATGTGGAACTGACATTTGATGAGGTGGATGCCACATGAATTGCCACCTCAGCGCCCCTAACCCATTTTACCCCCCCCCCCCCCCCCTTTTTTTTT